AGTAAACGTGCTTGGCAACAACCACCCAACCGAAATCAAACTACTATGTGCAAATCAAAAGGGTCCCTTCCGCGAGCTTCTGCGGGCAAAAAACACCTTCCGCAAACCTTCCGCGAACCTTCCGCGGCTGCGGTGCGGCGCCACAATCTATACATGCTTGCTTGAGCGGAAAAGTAAACCACCACTCATTTGCTTCTTCGCCCCCCAGGACAAATGAGAACTTACTTTTTCAGTCGTGATAGGTTCCTTCTTTAAAACCAACAAGGGGAAAATAAATAAATAACCAAATAAATAAATGAATATATCTATATATATATATATATTAGTCTTAAGCAAATAGAAGTAAGCAAACAATTGCAAATTCCAACGGTTGGTTAGGGGACGGAACGTTGCGATCCTATACCAACTTGCGGTGGAGAGGAAAGTCTGGCCTACATTTTTCGCAGAACGTACCGGCCATTTGTCTCTTTCTCCTCTCCTGCTCCCACGATGTTATTTCATGTATTTTGTGTCTTTAGCCGGAGAGCACTTTGCATTGTGATCCCACATGGCCTCCTTTCAAAATAAAATGCCTCGAGTAGCGGGCTCCATTCCGGTGAATTGAACCACAAGGTGAGAGATTCATACGAGCGATCAACAATCATGGTATACTGGCATTGATCGTATACCAGAATGTGAATGCGTCTAAAAATAGGTGACCCCAACACTGGCGGTGTTCCCTGTAAACCACACAGCGCTGGCTGTGCCTTTTAGGATTCGCAGCCCTAACACGAGTGGGTCTTCCCCTTGGTTTCCCCGGAAAACCAGGGCACCAACTCCGTCCTGGGTCCATGAGGCGTCTTCTCGGTCTCTGGTTGGTGAGGAGCCCCCGGAAGGCAACGAAAATGATCATGTTGGTGTCCAATGTTTGTTTCCCCCATGTTTCAAAAAGAACACATATGTATACATATATATATATATATATATTTGTCCGGGGGGATTCGGTCACACCAAAGGCAGGCAGTGCTGATGCCGAGCGCCAATCCTGAACTCCGCCCACTTGCCTTCCAGTCAAAGTTGCTGGTTATCAGCGAATCGCCTCAAACCGTCGCTCGAGGACTTGCAACTTCGAGACGCGTGGATTCCTTTTACTGAAGACGACAAAACAAAACAGCGAGGAGACCTGAGGGCACCCTTTTTCAGCTTTCCTCCCATTGCTGGTTTGGATTGGTGTCTTGGTGGTGGGGCGTGGTTTCCCATTTACCCTCTACAAGAACTAGGAGTTCAAGTCCAAATCCAAACCACCAATCCAAACCACCAGTGTTCAGTTTCACCTGCCTATTCGGCATGCAAAAGAAACGAGCCAGCTTCCCCCGACGCTGGGCCCCTCGCGAGATGTTTGGCTGTCGCCTGGCAGTTCGCCTGAGCGACCCCGAACTAGGCGACCACGTGCAGCCAGCGAGCTGTTCGGTGGCTACAAGGAGAAACTCGAAAAGCTGAATTCCTGGCAGGATTGCCCAAAAAAGATATCCAATATTTGGAATTTCTTAGTGGTCTAGCACCCAAAAAACCACCTTGACTTTTGGGTGGCTTTTTTGCCAACCCAAAAAGGGTCTGATTTGCTTATTTTCTTTCGTCTTTGCCACGACAATGGCCACCAAACCCCAAGCCAGTTCCCATCCGACGGAAGGCGAAGCGCGAACGGCGCCATCAAAGGCCCCGGCTCCAAGAGGGCGGAGAGAAACCGAGAACGAGCCAAGCGGTTGAGCGGCGGGGCGAGCGTTTTGCAGAGTTGACCAGAGGCTACAGGAGGTGTTGCAGGAACTTGGATTTTTCCAAATCCCACCGCAAAACGAAACGGGTTTCCAGTAGATACGCCCACACCAAACACGGGTTTGTTTGAAAGGGATTCCAAACCCCACCAAACAAAACTGATTTCCGGCAGAAATGCTCATTCACCACCGAGATTTTGTTCAAAAGAGAGCTGGAAAGTGGGTGGCTATCCCAAGATAAGCCCAGATAAGCCAAGGAGCTTCTACGTGATAGCCCCAAATGAGCGTGATTTCCAAAAGGACTGCAAGTGCCGGAAATTTGTGGGAACTGCCGTGTGGTTGCAACTCCCACCAATGTTCTGACCAACAAGTTACCTCTTTAGGTCCAAAAACAGCTCGGGGGTTCGAAGAAAATCAGTTTTTCATGGAGTGTTGCAACGGCGTAACAAATACAACGGCTTGCCTGGGTTCCCGAAACTTCCTCTTTACCTCGAAGCTTCGCGGTTCGAGGTGCTTAGGAGGGAAACATGGGGAACCAATGTCAAATTCGGCTTCACAAAGAAGCCGAGCACTCGCTCAGACCGCACCTTGGTTTGGCAACCAGTCACAGGGGCACGGAGGGTGCTTCTGCTAAGCTTGCACACAATCGCCCCGATAGCCGCCGTACCAGACTTGCCGCTGACAAAGAGCTCTTCAAAAGGCCTGGTCAGTTCCATGTCCTCTTGGAACCGGACCCTTTCAACGAGATGTCGACCGCGGCCACGGGCCCCAGTACTGTTATAAACTTGTAGCAGGATTAGCTTCCTAAAGTTCTAGGGGGTGATTATCCATTCTTTTCAACCATCAGTCTGTTCGAAAAACCAGCTGTTTGTTTTGGGGTTCTGATGGTTTTCTGAAAAGAAGGATCAATGATGGGAAGTGTCCCCGAGAAAAGTCAGAACAGTCAGCCCTTTGGGTTGCGAAAGAACCGGAGAACCTCAGGGCCCTACACCAAACGCCCATCCAATTTCCATTGGCGCGAGCCTACGTGAGGCAGGCTCACCTGAAGCGCCCAGTACCCAGATACCACAAACTTAAAAGCCAGTGTCGGAAAAAACAAGTTGGTTGAACGGTGTACTTTTGGTTGGACCCTTTTCGTCCTCGCAAAACGAACCACAGACTTCCACTAACTTGTTCTTTGTGGGAAATCAATCGTAACCTACGCATTCCCTTAAAGGAAAACGCAGGGGATGGTTGGTACAGGTCGTTCCCGCCTTCCCCGAGAATGAGCAACTCAGTTGCCTTGTTCAAAGGTGACCACCTTTTTGGCGCAACAAAACATTGGGAAAACCAACAGGTCTTGGGCAAGCTCGGAGACCCCGCGTTTTGCTTCCGCGAGTGGCTTTTCAATCGAGTCACAACGGGCCCGCATGGCATGGCTTTGGCCTGAAGACATCCACAGGTTAGCAGAACATGAGTTTATGGGTAGGTGTCCACTTCCGACAAGGAGCAACAAATCGGACAAAACAAAACGACGAACCATGAATGATCTCAACTCGAAAGGTGCGAGCACATGCTGCCATCCACACGCTGAAGCTTGCCAGGAAGTTCTGGGCGGAGCTAGACTGGTTGAGTCCAACGGCTCTGTGCTTTGCTCAAGGCAACATGACGTTCCACGTGATAGCAGCCACAAAGCTCATGTGCTTTGGTTCGCTTCGGCATTTGGATGCGGAATCCAGCCCCTTGAAACAGCCTTGAAGCTGCTGAACTTCAAGTTGGAAAGTCCGAGTACAGTTCAACAGCAAAGGGTTGCATAGGGGATGTCTGAACTTTTTGGTTACCCCAAAATGGTCCAAACCCAAAAGTAGAAAGTCCAAGAACTCAAGTGAGGAAAGGGCGTCATAGTGGATCATACATTCGCTCCCTCTCTATGATTTGTCCCGCTCTCTCTCTCTCTCTCTCTCTCTTTACTTTTGGAAGCATTTGAAGTCGGAAGACGCATCCAACCAACCAATCCTCCTTGGCATCTTGTCCTCTGCTACATGCAATGTGCAAGGCAAACATCCTATCTACCTTGTCAGTTGCCATTCTTTCTGGACCATCTTGCAATGTCACATCATTTTAACGTATAGCTCAGCTAGAATCTGCAGGAATCGTCCTCCGCGACCTGTAGTTGAGCATTTGGAAAGTTGGACGAATCTTCCGAAGAGCGTTCGCGGTTGCTTATCCCAGTCCCACATGTTTTTCCCCCAGTACAAACCTACCCCTAACTCACTCAGGAGAATGGGGTTGTAGGTTCTTTCAAGAAAAAATGCTTTATCATGGGAGAAAGGTGTCTACAGTAATTTAGCCTGTTACTTGCATTTGCTTAAGTGTCCTGGAAAAAGTAACAAATCCAATAGTGATAGATTCCCTGAAAACAAAAGTACTTGCATTTGCAAAAGCTTAAGAGTCCGCTGGGAAGAGTAACATGATGTCCAAGTATTGATAGCTTTCCTTTAAAACCAACAGGACAGCATAAAGCATATTCTTAATAAATAGATGATCATATTACCTTGGTCCTGCCTGCCTTGGTCGCATCTTTGTATTTCTGGTTAAGCCTGGCTGCGCCTGCCACCCACAGCCATCTACCACGCCGTTTTAAAAGCCCCGGCGGCAAAGAATTCGGGAGCCGCCGCATGCCAGCTGTTCGGAGTTCATGGCCTCTGAGGGTTTGTGGCCATGTGTCATAAAACGAGTTGGACCCTTCCCGGTCTGAAGAAGAGACCAGCCTATAACCGCCCCTTTCAAGAAATTGGGGTGGTCCTTCTGCCACATTGTTGGAACACGTTTGGCATAATCACCTCCAAGCGGAAACCTGCAATTTTAGGGAGCCCACAAACGTTTCTAATAAACTAAACCCTTAAACGGAGCATACATCATACATATATGGCCAGTAGTTTCATTCGAGATCCCACTGACATTTGATTGGTGGACACAAAGCCCCCCATACCAAAGGGCCTCGAATTGGACGTCATACACTCAGTCACTTCTTGAATAATTTGCCCTGCCAAGAAAGACAACGTGTAAATTGGTTGTTTGCAACTAACATGAGTTGCGCAACTAGCCAGAAAACGGGCGAACCTGAGCAAAAGCAAAATAATCAGTTGAGGAGTTTGTGCCCCAATTTTCAAACACGTGGGTATGGGTCAAAATGGAGGGACCCCCAAACTGGTGGTTGTCCTTCAGGCCTCCCCCACAAGATGAACAGGTTCCTGTCATGCTTTCTTAAACCTCCTCACCAACAGGAAGCACCTTACCGGAAAAAGACACGGCCAGGCGCTTGTGACCATCATTGCTCCGTGAGCTGCGACAAGAGGTCCGTCATGGCGCGGATGGTGGGGAAGTCGAAGACCTCGATCCGTCGGTCGGAGCTGCTTCGTTCCGGAGGGTCCCGAGGCTGGGAATATTCATTTGACCTGTGTGGCTTTTTTGCACTTGAGATGGAGCCCGAAAGGAAATTCCAAAGATAAATACCAATTGTGTCTGGTTGTTCTGAAGGAAGGGGGTGGTTTCGAGTTTTGCATGGAAAGCAAATGAAAACCAGCAGAGTGTTGTGAGCTCTGTAAGACACCCCGTGACTTAACTCAAACCTCACTTGGCTTCCTTACCAACTCCCAGATCCTTCGGGATTCCATTTCGAGGTGGGAATGAACCTTCATTTAGAGATCCCACAAAAAAAGAAGAAGAAAAAAAGCGTGAGGCCCCAAGGGCTTCCGGATTGCCTTTATGGACCGTGGGAAGAGGCTGCAACTCGGCCGCCCATTGGCTCGCTCCGAGCTTCGAGGGAGTCCGCAACTCTCCGGGGCCGGCGCCAAGGTACTGGGCAGCTCTACGCCTTCGAAGGTGCTGCCCAACTTGTTGCGGAACCTCGAGCGGGCCAGCTGCACGCGGTCGGATCGAGTAACCCGTACGAACTCCTCAGGGTTCTGAAGAACTCGAAGCTTTGTGGTAAGCAAACCGTGGACCCCCAGTTGGGTATGCTTTGGTTGGCATTCAGGGGACTTAGCTTGAGGGAAAAAGGTCGTGACTGGCAAATCTGGCTTTTGCAATTGGAAGCTTTGGGATTGATAGCCCGGAGTTCGGAGCGGCCCGGAAAGGCTCGTGTTCCAGTTCCGAGTGAGGGGAAAACACCCGAGCTTCTTTTTGGATGCAAATACTGTATCATCATGGTTCTTAGCAGGCAATTTCTTCATGTTAGCTGGATTCAGTGGGGGATTCATCCAAAGTTTTGTGTTGGGTTCCTGTTCTTTCGGAAGCAACATTGACTGAGATTAGCAACTACCAGGTGATGCCAAGGTCATCCCAGGAAAAGCACCAAAAATGACGACAGCACTGAGGCCACGCACAAAACGGCGTTCATGCTGTTGATGCCTGGCCACGTGGCTATCCGGAACAGACAAAAAAAAAGCAGCAGCGCGGCGGTGCAAAAAAAGGCTTAACTTTCAGTGGGTTGAACGGAAACTACCACTAAACCCTCCAAAGCTAAAGCCCTGACAGGATGGCCGGGGACCACCAAGGAGTGTCAAAACTAGTCCTTCCAAATGGCTGGTTTCATGTTCGTGCCCTGAGGCCGTCCCCAGAAGGATCCGCGGCAAAAGCACAAGCTGTAAACCAGATGCTGCTTTTTGCGTCTTGGAAAACATGGGACAAGTTGAGCGGATCAACAGGTCAACACCCCCTAACAATGTCAGCGGCAGGTCCTGCCTATGTCCATCAGTGGCATATCTGCATCCTGAGTTGAGCACACTATGCGAATGACAAACATGTATCCCAAACTGGGCCCGGTTCTCCGTGGGGTTCTTGAACATAAGCGCAGAAAACGGATCGACGCAAAAACAAAAACCAAACATAGACACGACACACCCCATTCCGCCCCGGGTCTGTTCTCTAAATGAGCCCCAAAGCGGACATAAGGACATAAGCTCACACATAGACACACTCAATTCCGGGACCTTCGTGAGCGCGCGGTTTAATCGCATGCATGCAGCCAAGACTCAATATCTCCACTGCTGCCGACCATTCCTTTGGTCACCTGACAAATCGATCCAACTGGCTCACATGTCAAAACAGGAGCCATGGCATCTCAAGTGTGCTGTCAGAATGGGCGGAACCAACGGAAGCTGTGTCAATGAGCAGCGTTTGAGGAATTTGGCTTTCCCAAGGCCCCAAGTCAACATCCCGAGCTGCCGAATTGGGCAGGTCAGTCTGACAGCATGCCATGAACTGCCCAAATGTCTGGAACTGGTTGGAAGCCCCGTTTCCTTCGGCGGCTTGAAGGGAAACCAAAGAATCGTCGACCAGGGATCCCTCTTGGACACTTCCACGAAGTTTCGCCTCCTGGATCTTGCTGGTGATGATGGCTGGATCCGCACCTCAAAGCAAAAAAAATAGGGCCCCCTCGCACCCAGTCCCAAAACCAATTGACTTGTTTAATTCGGAACCCGTACCGATGACAAAAGGTTTCTACCTTAGCTTTTGCCCCCCCAACCAAAATAGAGCGAACCTTAAACTGCATCATGACAAGAGATATCCCAGGTATACGCATTCCATGACCCACCCGAAGTCGTGAAGATACTAAAATTTGCCAAGGAAACGGCTCGCTCTTTTGCTTCCAGGTCTTTTGGGCCTTCAAGGTGTGTCGGTTTATCGATGTCCAAGAATCTGTTCGCTCTTGCACCGCCTATAGATGTGGCCCAAGGGTGAAAGGATAACCCCCCTTGGCAAAAGGCTAAGGCCCTCCCCTCGGATCTTTCAGCCGGGGCACTTTTGCAAATTGAAAGCTGGAATCAGACACATCTCTGCCGAGTCCTTGGGAGGAAAACAACCCTTCCCACTTGATGGCATGCCCAAACAAGGTCTGCACCTCTTTCCACTATAAACCGGTCTTCCAACAAAACGTATCCAAGAACTCAGGAAGTGAGCCTTGACAGCGTCCTTTGACTCCAAGCAAACCTCAACCGCACTCACCTGGCACCCGGAAATGGGGCAGCCGTTTTTTTTTTTTTTTTTTTCTTTTCTGAGGGAAGGTCTGGCATAGAGACCCCTGCTGGCCAAACGGTTTGGCTCTTTCGGCCATAAGAAACGGACCCGAGTCCGGGACGCCCTCACGTTCGAGGTCCAACCCTTTCAGGCGCTCAGGCGCTCGGTTTCCCACATTCTGCTGGAAGCCACCCACAAAAGAACTTCGAAAAGTTGAGGTTCCCCCTGGAATGGGACATCCACCTAACAGACCAGGGCTTCATTCCTCCTGGGTTTCTTCCAAAGTAGAATAAGAAGATCACCGAGCAAAGGACCAACATTCGTGGCAGGCTCTTTTTGTCCAGGTGAGCTTGTTTAACCTGAAAATAGGCGGTTTCCCTGACTTCAAGCCAACCCCCCCCCCCCCCCCAGCCCAGCTCAGGCTGGGACGTACCGGGGCCATCGCCCCCCCCATCGCTCCCAGTGCGGTCGGGAAGGCGGGCATAGCAGCCATGGCTGCCTGGTTGGCTGCCTCAAGCAAATTCCAAGGCAGCCTGCTGATGTGCTACGTGAGGTTTACCGATATGGGCGTGTCTTTTCTTATTACTATTTGGACCGCCCAAAATGGGTTTTCCTTTGAAACCGGTACCCCCACAAAAAGACAGAACCTCCTGGGTGATGTGTCAAAATAGGGGAACCCCAAAATTTGTGGTTCCATGTTTGTTTCTCTTTACAACCACTCACAAAAGGTACCCTTAAACAGAAATTGAAACCACACATCCTCTGGCATTTAATCAATTTAATCTCGATAGGGAACCGTTTCAAAATATTGTCAATGGACATATTTGGGCGTGTGTTGTTTGAGGGTACCAATTTCATTTTGCATGGTTGAAAGGGAAGCCCCAAGGCAAAACGGCAATTTAGGGTTCCCGCATTTTGACACACGCACACACCCTTATTGATCTTAATAAGTTTGAATACACAGCGACGGACAAAGCATGGAAAACTTGAATAACACATTGAACCATTACCAGGGTGTTTAAACAATCCTAAATGTGCCGATACAGCACCATATTACAGCCTGTTGTTGCAACACCCCCAAACCGTAAGTTTGTAAACATCCCAGAATGTGACCACGTGCAGGAACCGAGTCATCTTCCCAACCCCTGGTATGTTGAGAAGCAACTTTACTTCCGCAGGCACCAAAAGAAAAATCAGCAAAAACCAAACTTGTTAAACAACACAACAAAAAAAGAGAGAGCATATTTGCAGGAACCATTAAAAATCAGCAAAACCAAACAACACAAAAAAAAAAAAAAAAAATAGATGTGTACCACACCCTGTCCTGCTTGGTAGGTGGGGTTAGACGGCCATTTCAAACTTGAAATGGGTGTTCTGACGCCATTGTCCCTATATGTCGCTGTGGTACACCGTTATATTGGATGGGTATCAAAAAAATCCAACCTCTGTTGCTATGAATTGGGTCCAAAAATACAAATCTAAGCAAAACTGGGGAAACGTGTAAACAGTCATTTTTTTTCTGGAGGAACAGTGACGAAAGAAAAATGGTTTTTGCCTTTGCCGTGTGGTGTGATGTGGCGGTTAGTCATGTGCCAAAGTCAGACTCACTCTGACAACTTGTCAGAAGATGTTGCAGACTGTTTGCCAACAGGATGAGGAGTCGAAAATGGCCAGAAGCATGCCAAGGGGTTCAAGGTAAAATTGTACAGTTGTTGTTTGCTGCAATGCCTTCTTGCAATCTTGTTTACTGTAATCCAATTTCTTTCTTGCCAGCGGTTCTTGTTTGCAATCTTGCCAAGCTTTCTCACTTCGTTTTCCCAGTCTTCTCTCTCTCTTTCTCCGTCTGCTTCTCTTTGTCTCACGTCTTCTCTCTTCTTGCCGTAGAAAAACACGTAAGCCCGGTACCTGGGACCCCGCGAGCTGAACGGGGCACGGGGCACGGGAGAGGCGCCAACGGAACAAGAACGCGGAGAGAACTGGGGAGAACTGGGCGCGAATGAGATACTTCTTGGAAAGAAGAGGACTGGAAGAGGAGAAAAAAACGGCAAAAAATGGGAAGAGGACTGAAAAGTGGGAAGAACCCAGAGTTCTGGAGTTCGGAAGTTTGCATCGCGTGCGATGATGGCAAGAGTTATGGCCAAGCTTCATTCTTTCAAGCGTCGATTTGGGATCATCTGGCTGTTCACGAATGAGATACTTGTTGTGCATATTGATGCTTCCAAGTTCACACACTCTGACTTTGCAAGACATGAGCAACATCTCTGAACATATCGTATCAAGAACACAGACATGGCATTGGAGATGAAATCAGTTGTCGTTGCCAAGTTGGGCAGCCATCGAGATGCGCCACTGACAACCATTGAAAGAAAACCTTCTGGCCCTCCACAAAACCCATTTGCCAAATGAGACTACAGTAGAGAGAAAGAAGTGAAATTTGTAGATGTTCACCAAGATGCACAGCAATGCCTCTGTATGAGATTTGCGAAACACCCCTCTCTCTCGCTCCCTCTCTCCCCCCGCTGGGTGCGGAGCATCTAAGCGCGCTGCCGAGATGTCATCACCTGTTTCCTATATGTTTGATTTGTTTTTGCATCCAAACCTCTGAGACTGTTTTTTAATACCCATTTCATGGCTATGAAATGGGTTTATAAAACTTGGTCCAAGCTTTTTCAAAAACCCATTGTTTTTAATAAATTGCTTAGAACACCTTCGTCTAACCCCACCCATGTGTACCGCAAGTCTCAACAACGCACACCAAGCCACCATGTCCTTGAACTCCGATCGGTAGCTGCCCTCAGACCCCCTGCTCAAAGTTTAACTTTAGCGGTTTAAATCGAAACCCCCACTAAACACTACAAGGCTAAAAAGAACTGGATGGCTGGGAGCCACCAATTTTTGAAAGCAAGTTTGGATACCCCCAACTTCGCTAAAGGCTCCCTTCCAACCAGCCGAGTCCATTTTCCCCGTCCGGCCACTCTACGGCAGTTCCGGGGAACCGTGCAGCGGCTGCAGCGGAGGTCTGCTCCACCACCAGGCTGGACCTAAGGTCTCATGATGACAAGGTCCACTAAGGTCAACTGGGCGAGTCGTTGTGTGGAAGGCACTCCATTTTTTGGTTGGCTAAGGAACACCAAAATGCTCCTGCAAGCATTTTAGGGGTCCGGGGCCCGATTTTTTGATACGCACCGAATCAGTGGTTGAAGGCATTCCCTCTTGAAATTGAACGCCATGTGGGCAAATGGGGACACACACACACACACACCCATTGTACGGAAGTACTGTTGACGGGAATCCCTAAGACCTCAGCCCTTTCCGAATTGCTGCTCTTTCAAGGGAACTCAAAAGAATATCGGCCCCTGGATGATATGTTAATCATATTGCCATGTTAGGCCTGTCTCAGAAGGTCCGAAGGAGGATGTCCCGTTTGGTTCTCCTTTTCCACCCCGAGCTGGATTCTCACAGAATTCACACACCTGAATGGATTTCACTTGGGAATTTCTTGAGGGCGCAACAAAGCTGAGCGATATTTTTGGGGTCCTCGACCTCCACTTGCCAAACAAAACAAATCCAGTGATAGATTCCGGTTAAATCCAACAGGGGAAAGTAAGAAAAATGCTTAAGTAAATGGAAGTGAACAAGTTAAAAGCGATCCTGCCCCTGTGACGTGGGGAGAAGACCTAAGAAGGGCGGCAACGGCCTGGCCTGCCCGGCTTTTCCATCTATCCCCTTGTCGTTTGATTGTAGGGTTCTTGTCTTCAAGCTGACACCCAAAGAAGACACAAAAGGGTGGTAGATCCCCTCTCTGTATCCATATTTTCCAGTGATGAGAATCAAGGTACTTGTGCAACCCCCCTTTTTGGGTTAGTCAGCTTCGGCCAAACACAGACATGGGTGTGTCAAAGAACCCCCTAAATGAGGTGTCCCTTTTCAACCAACCTGAAAAGAGGTATATAGCAAAAGAAAAAAACGCAAAACCCCAATCCAACGGGGAGAACAGGGGGTCTTTTTGAACCTTTGAGCGACTAACACAACTCACTGAAAGCCGCTGAGGCTGCGGCAAAGCTTTGACGGTGGGGTAGTCAAAGACCTGAGGTCACGGTGGAGAGATGGGTGTGTCAAAAATACGGGTGCTCTCGGGCGATTGATTCCATCGATTTTATCGCTTTATCCCAGGGACTCCCTTGGTATCACACCGTTCTTCAGTTGATCAATTTAGGGAAGCTCGGAAACTCCGAGGAAGTGGCTACCTGATTGTCGAATCGGGTAGCCAAAATGAATTGGATTTGGGGGATGTGCGGAGCCCAGGTGCCCGAGAACTGCGAGGATTCGCAGGGCCAGGACTTGAGAGAAGTGGCCAAAGAAGTCCAGGAACTGTTCATTTACTACTGAAATGGCAACCAAACCCAAAAAGTGACTGAAGTCTAAGAACTCAGGACGTCAGGAAGGGAGATAACAAGCCCAGGAGCGGGGCTAAGGCTTGATGTCGCTGAAGAGAACCCAGAAATCAAACTCCCGGAACGGGTGGCACTGGCTTGGTGTTGGTAAAGGTCGCACTCATCTAGGTTTAAAATTTAATTGGGGACTGTCTAGTGGACATCATTTTGATGGGGATTCATGCTCGCCAACCCCTTTTGAGGTGGTTCCCTGTTTAGATTTGTAGCCATCCGAAGACCCAGCTGTTTCGCTTCTGAGGATGATCAGCATTGCTTTGTTGTCAGGACCATTTCGGTGGGATCTGAGGACCCTCTCAACAAACACCAAAGATCTGAAGGTAACGTTGTTTTTTTCTTTTTAAAGGGCTGGTTCCTTTCCTAGGGCAGTTAGGTCAAGCAACATGCTCACAATCCTCATGGTGCAACGCAAATCACTCCCTGTAATAACCAAGGTCCCCCCAATTTGTGTTTTCAATACCAGAGCGGGCACAGTACCAAATCAGAATAGGCCAATTCTATACCAATACTCAACTAACGATTTCTCCCACCGACCTCCATTCGCATTGGGAAACCCTTTGTTTTTTGTCTCTCTCTCTCTCTCTCTCCCTCTCTGTCTCCCTTACACTCTCTCCCTCTCTCTCTCTCTTTAGTTGGGGGACCGGATTTCTAGACCTTCCTAGAAAATGAAAGGCAAGAAGGACAGCCAAGAGAATGGGGAAAGGTAGCTGAGGCGTAAGGCCAAAGTGGTTGGAAGCTGGATGTCCGCGAACTCACTGGTGAGCTTGTTCCGGAAGAGAACCGCATTCATGCTGTTGATGCCTCTCCGCGCATAAAAGCGGGCGATCACAACCATGCGCACCCCCAGGACCAGCACCCTGGTACTCACTTTCTAAGTGGATTGCCCAGACAACATCAGAGACTTTTACTTGCCAATAGAATGGCAAGCAAACCCAGAAAATGACTAACTAAAGCCGAACTCAGGAAGCGAGGGTTGGAAAGAAACAGGCCCGCATTTTTGGGGATGTATGCCAGGAAAAGCTCCTTTCGCGGGAACCTTGATCCGGGTGTGTCTTTGTTTAGGATTCGGCCCCCCAAAAGAATGGAGGGTGTTCCTTTTCGTTTCCCTGTAAAACCAGCCAAAAAGGTGTACCCTCCAGAAAAAGACCCGGCCATCCAAATTGGACGCCAGGGTCGCTTGGATCATGTCGAGCGCTGGGCGAACCCACTGAAACCAAATCGTTGAACCATAATTGGTGCCACTGAACAGCCCCGCAACCATTTGGCTGTGGGTCAAAACCCCGGTGCCCGCCTACGGACCAAGCAAAATGGATTTTACTCAAAAGCGTATCTAGGGTTTTGACCCACACCAATTCGTCTTGGATGTTGGCCCCTGTTGCCAGGTGAAATTGCCACTTCGTGGGTAATCAACAAAATTAAACCCGGGGAAGTAATTGCAGGCGATGGTGCACCTCAAATAAAGCCCCGACCCAATCGTGATTGCTGGCCCTCTTGCAAGCCCAAAAACCGATGGAGGTTGTGTTTTGTTCATGCCAGATCCTGGTGAGGTCGCTTAGAACCATAGGCCGACACGTGAGGGGCTCTTGGTTGGTTTTAAAGAGAAATCAAAGGGACAACCACCATCGTTCTTGTTTCTTCTTCTTCTTCTTTTTTTTTTGGGGGGGGGGGGGCGAATCCTAGAAACAAATGACGCACTATGGACCCTTCGTAGATCCTGGGAAGTCAAAGAGAGATGTTGCCCCTGATGTTCATCATCCCCGCAGCGAACGCAAATCGAAAACACGGCGCTCGGGTGTTTTCGTTTCTTTTTGCGCTCACAAGGCCGGCAACACCTCATCGACTCGCGGCAGGCGCTCCAATTGGAGATAATCCTGCAGATCCCCAGTCCAGTGACCCTGGGAGAAAGAAGAACCCTTGAAATCGGGTTTCACTACTTTTAGGAAGAATCTGTTGGGGTTGACAAATTTTGAGGGAGAACTCTTTGGGGTTGACCACTGAACTGGGGATCTGTACAACATTAGTCTTGTTGGTTCGGTACAGGCAGGTCTGCAAAAAGACGAGCTGTTCAGGCAAAGTGTGGCTCAAAAGTCGGTTCCCAAAATGGGTTGCCCTGGCAACTAGAAAGAAAGACCAAAGCCAGCGGTCTCTGGTGGCCCAATTTTGACCCATGCCCCAAAAAAAACGGAACACCACTACCACCACCACCTGGCATTAGAACCCAGCCAAAAAGCAAACTGAAGACATGCCAACAGAAAAAGTCAAGCAAAACTTTGGCCCAGTCCTGCAGCAAGCCCTGGAACTGCGCGGCACACCGCCTCTTCAGCGGTCGGTACGCCCACTCCTCCCTGGGGCGTGGCGGCCGCGTGGAAACGCCGCGCGGGTGCGCCTTGCCTCGGCCTCGGCCCTTAGGTCTCTCAAATCGGGGGATGGGAGCTTCTCGAGGAGCCACGGCCCCGGGGAAGTGCCGCAGGTACCTAAGATCCGCAGTCGAAGCGCGGGAGCATGACATGAACCAAACTTTGGTAACCAAACCACATTCAGCTTCCCCCCAATCAGTTTGGGATTGGCTTGGAGTTGGTTTGTCGTAGATTGGAGGTGTTCCGGGATGGCTTTGCATCTAGCTACAAGAAGCTGAAACTAAAATCCCCAAGCCACCGATCCAAACCGCTGATCAACGGGCAGCTGAATTCCGGACAAGAACCATAAAGACGCCAAAGGTGTCAACAGCAAACGGTCCTTCTTGTTGGACAAAGTGCCAGTCCTTCTTTTTGGCTCGCGCTTTCTCCTGCCCGCTCAGAGACGCTGCCTCCCCAAGTTCCTCGCTTCGCGGGTTGGCGTCTTCAGTTTCTTGAGCCTGGCTCTCCAACTCCGGCGCTGCGGTGCTGCTCACGGGCTCCAGTTGCTCATTGACTTTGTGAGCCTTAGCACAAAGTTGAGCACCAAAACACATCAGGTGGAACCATGGGCATGTGCCAAAACAGAAATACCGCAAATGGTGGTTTGCCTTTTGAGCCTTTTGGCTTCCATTTCAACCATGGGAAAAGCTTACCCCAAAAAGCATATTTCTGCCAGCATTCAAAATGTATGGCACTTACGTATCCAACATGTAACTGGGCCATGGGCTTTTCTGACCATCCCCATTCACCCAACCATGCAGGTATTCAGCACCGAAAATACTCCCGCCAGCTCAACATCCAACTTTGGGGACCAGGTGACATCCCCCATTGGCCGATCAGCAGTTGGTTCGCACGCATGGATTCAATAGGCTAGCCAGAATTGGTGAGAATTTGCCCTGCAACATCGTCCAATAGGTGGCTGGAATCTATCGTTTCGAACCCCGCTATTTAACCACCCGATTCTTTGCCGCTCTCGAGCCCTGATCATGCCTTGGGTGAACAGAATTGTGGAGATTAACTCTTGGGATGATGGTAACATGCAACAACATAACCTGCAATTGATTGAACATGGCCGGTACGGGCGATCAAGGTGCCTTTGTCTGAGATTATGCCCAACTCACAATCGTAGACTCTGGGCCATATGTTGTAGACCTACATATACCATTTATGTCATTGTCCCAGCTTATCTGTACTTCCAGGATCCAATGAGAGACACCCCAACATCCGACTCCAAGTATCCAACCGACGCAGGAAACGCCGCGGGACGGGCGGAGCCGGAGCCGTGAGGGCAAGGAAGAGCTCATCCTCGTCCTCTTCCGGAAGGTCTTCCTCGGCTCACGAAAGCAACAAACGAGCGAGCAACATGGCAAACCAACCAATCAACCAACCAACCAAGCAAGCAAACAGGCAACCAAGCAAGCAAGCAAGCACACACGCACGCACGCACGCATGCACGCACGCAACCAACCAACCAAGCAAGAAACCAACCAACCAACCAAGCAACCAACCAGAAAACAAAGCAAACCAGTTTCGGCAGCATCGGAACCTGACTGCCCTCAACTCTTTGAGGGTTTTGTTCAAAGAGACACCAAAAACAGGTTGCTCAACCACCAGCGGTTTCAACGTCTAGAGAACAAAAACAAGAAGAAAAAGCAAAACAAGGCTGGCCCACCCCACCCCGCCTGCGGGGCTGCTTGAAGTGCCGCCTCTCGAAGCCAGGCCCAGCGGCGCTCCTGAGCTTCGCTAGATGATCCGAACTGGTCCAAAGCCCCCGAAAGTGATAGAAAAACAACTCAAGTCCGAGTCAAAACGTGAGGATCGCGTTGGATGCCCCAGCTGAAGAGCTGCGAACCAACCGCTCGCGCCTCGAAGGTGAGATATTGCGCCCGCCGCTTTGCCTTCGGCTCCTGGAGAAAAACCACCGCGCCAAGCTCCGCGTTGCGGTTTCTCAGTTGGCGCAAACCTGGGGGTCATTCTTTGAACTGTGTCTAGGGGTTATCAAAGTCAGAAACTGGGGGGTGTTCCCTTACCCACTTAAGGGGTGACTTTGATAGTGGTACCATAGTCCGTTCCCTTGGTTGCTACCCGCCCTAGGCCCGCCTTCTGTGATTTCAAAATGAAATCAAAAAGAAAACCGTTGGGGGTCCAAATCCTACAGCAAAACGACGGAAAAGGCGGAACCACAAGGAAGTTCTCTGACCAAAAGGTGTTTACCCATTTTCAAAACGGGAAGTTGGCCAAACCGTGTTTTTTGGTGGGCAACCACCAAACATAAGACACGGAACCCAAAAGGATACCCACCTGCAAAATCCTTGCAAAACAGGATTTGTATGGGCTTCATGTTACTGCAGGGAAGCGATGTTGACCGCAAATCAATAAACCTGTCAGATTAAGCGCTGCTCCCGACAATTGACGAATCAGCTCTAAACGGGGCCACATCCCATTGATCAAACAACGGGTTGTTTATCTGGTTCAACTTGTGCAGGTAGTGACCATGGCCATAAGCGGGACAACTATGGAGGGGTTCCTCAACACGGTGAACACCTACGTGGGTACTGGGTACGGCACTATGTGTTTGTCCAGCCCCCATGAAACGGGAACAGAACCAAAGAAAAAGCTGGGAACATACCAACCTGGCGGGCGAAAAGGGCCCTTGGTTTTCCCAATATGCTTTGTTCAAGCCAATATACTGACCATTTCGCGCCCCTCACTTCCTGTCGTGTTCCACTAAGTTGGCAACCAAACATCAAAGAAGTGACGCTCAAGTCAACATGAAGCAACGTGCTGCAGTTGTTCTTGTTTAAAAAAGTCCTACAAGAACAAAAAACAAGACAGAGCCCACGAACCCGAATGCACATCACTTTGCGCAAACCCAAGAAAATAATTAGAGAGACCATTTTTCGGTACAAGCCAATGGGGCTCGCAATCAAGCCTACTGCGCAAACTATGTTTTTCAGCTTGTAAAACTGTACTTCGCGCGCTCCACTTGTTGCTACGAAGCTACGATTTTCAATCTGGAGCTGGACACCTGCGCTTCGCGCGCTAGACTTGTGCTACAAAGTTGCGATTTTCCAGCCGGAGCTGGTACTTCGCGCGCTAGACTTGCGCTGCACAGCTGCGATTGTCCAGCTAGAGCTGAAAACCTGTACTTTGCGTACTAGACTTGTACTACAAGCTGGAGCTCAAAGCCTGTACTTCGCGTACTATACTTGCTTTTCAAAGTTGCGAGCTTCCAGCCAGAGCTGGAAACTTGTACTTCACGCACTATACTTGCACTACAAAGTTGTGACTTTCCAGCTAGTGCTGGAAACCTGCACACTTCGCGCACTAGACTTGTACTTCAAAGTTGCGATTCTCCAGCTAGAGCTGGTTCTACAAAGTTGCGATTTTCCAGCTAGAGCTGGA